TGAATTTTCTCCATTTTCAAAACGTTTTGTTCCAACTTTATCAAAAGAAGCTTTAAGATCATCAATTTTCTTTTGATGATCATCATTGACCTTTGAAAATAAATTTTGCAAATCAAAAATTTTCTTTTCAAACTCTTCTATTTTGATTTGTAAATTTTTTTATTTTACTTTCAAGATCATTGTTGGTTTTGGACATAAGACTATTTTTACTCTTTAATTTTGAAATATCATTTTTGTATTTTGAAAATAAAGTCTTATAATCCGAAGTCAAACCATTATAATCCTCTAATAACTCATCATAAGATAATTCATCTGAATAGAATTATTTAGAGGTTACCTAAGAATCTTCCCTGAATGCCATCAAGCACAAGTTTACTACTTCTTGTTCCTCTTCATCGGAGCCTTCTTCATCGCTCCATGTAGCCACATGAGCCTTGTGCTTCTTTTTTGATTGACCATTTTTCTTCAATTGAAGGCAATCGTATTTGACATGCCCCAGTTTTTTGCATTCATAGCAAATGATCGGGTCCTTCTCATTTGGTTCAGTTTTGAAGCCTTCATTTCGTTTGAATTTTCTTCCTCGGTTGGGCCTCATTAATTTTTTGAACCGTTTGGCAAAAAATGCCATTTTCTTGTTATTTTCATCTTCATCCGAATCACTCTCATCTTTTGTGGATTTGAGAGCAACTCCAACGTTCTTCTTCTTCTCCTTCTCCTTTGGTGTCTCATCAATCTTATCGAGGTCTACCTCATCTTGAAGCATCATTTCATGAGTGAGGTGTGAACCGATTAGTTCTTCAAGGGTTAAGTACTTTAAGTTCTTAGCCTCGATGATTGTCGTCTTCTTTGATTGCCACGATTTTGGAAGTGAGTAAACTAACTTCCTCACAAGCTTTTCATTTGGAATGATCTCTCCATATGATTTGAAACCATTGAAAATCGTGGAAAATCTATCCGTCATAGCTTTGATATCTTCATCCGGTTTCATCCTGAAATTTTCATAGTTATGAGTTAAAAGACTAATTTTAGATTCTTTTACCTCGTCAGTGCCTTCATGAGTGACTTGTAGTTTGTCTAATATCTCATTGGCGGTTGTATAAGATGAAACTCTCTCGTATTCATCCGGTCCAAGAGCAAAAAAGATAATATGTATTGCTTTGGAGTTGAGTTGAAACATTATTGTCTCTCCTTCACTCCACAATCTCGGGTGAGTGGAGGGTTTGATATATCCATCTTCTATGAAATTCCATGCTCCCATGTCACTTTCTTGAATGAAGTACATCATTATATTCTTCCAATAAGAATAGTTATCTCCATTGAAGAAAAGAGGCTTGTTGACGGGCATTGAATCGAGAACGAAGTTAGAGTTTGAAGCTCCGACCATTGATGACTTGAATATCAATGTAACTCTTCCTGAATCAACTCAAGAGGCGATTAAACCTTCAAATGAGTGAGGCTCTGATACCAATTATTGAGTTAATCGATCGAAGGAATAGGCCAAGAGGGGGTGAATTGGCATTAAAAATTTCGGTGGAAGCTCTTGTAGAAAATTGAAAATATTTGCATAGCGATTTAGAGTAGTTCGACTTTCTCAACCAAAGTCTACGTCCAATACCTTAGCTATTCACATTAAGGATTTTCCACAAATTCACTAATTTGTCTTTCTTTTGAGGACAAAGAGTAACCTTACAAATCCCTCAAGAATTATACCCCAAATTCTTGAGATCACTCTCTCCCAAAGAGAACAATACAAATTTTGCAAACTTACAAGAAAATCATCACAAGGCAAGATATTTGCACAATTCTAGAACAAAGAAAGAAAACTCAAGAATAATACAATTGAGCACAATAAGTGTTCTTGAAAGCAAAAATGAATATTGAATGAAATAGGCTTGAAAATGCTCAAACTTGAGGTTTGATGATTTCTCTTTGATTCTCTCTTGATTCTTGTTGATTGTTGTTTCTTGTTGTTGATTAATGGCTTCTAAGCTTGTTTAAATACTCATTCAATTGATTCTGAACGTTGGGGATGATTAGTGGAGTCAATGGAGCCGTTTAAGTGTGAAAATAATTAATAAAACTGCTTGGAGCGTGGGGGAATCGGTACCCCCTCATAGGGAATCGGTTTTTGTAGTGTAAAATTCAAATATTTTGACCGTTGAACAGGGGGAATTGGTACCCCCTTCGGGGGGAATCGGTTCCCTCTGGGCAATCTGCCCATTTTGGTTTGATTTTAATTAAGAAATGATTTTTGACTCGAATAAGGCTCAAAATACTTTGTAAATTTATTTAACATATTTTTACAGTTTAGAAAGGATTAAAATGAACTTTGAAAGACTTGGAGTAATTTTTTATATTCGAATAATTATATCGAATATACTTAGAAAATCTTTTGTAAAATCTTAAAATTCATTTAACTTAATTGTTATATCGAAACATCAAAATGTTTTCAACAAAAAAATAAAAAATTCAACAAAAAACACACAATGCGAGTTGAAAATGGGAAAGTGCGAAAGAGGAAAAACTTACTTCTGGATAGCTCAAAAGAGAAAATAAATACATTCTTACAAGTGAGGGGAGAGGCTAAGAGCATTTCTTCCTCCATTTTTTCTTTATAAATAAAAAGCTGAAAGACAGAGCACTGCTTGGGTTTACAATTTTACATGGCGGAAAATTGAAGAACAAAAACCAAACGAGAGGTGAATGCGCTGTTTGGGATTCATTATATTTGATCATTTATCAGAAAATTTTTAAGCACAAGGATTAAACGAAGAAATTATTATATGCCATTTATACAAAATAATTCTAGCTTTGTTGGTGACTTTCAACAATGATACTTACTTCATCTTAGTAGTATTTGTCAACTCTGCATTTCTAACCCTATTTTTTTCTCACAAACATTTCATCGAACATCTATGCTTCACCTGAGATGACCTGTATCTAACATTACACCTTGAATCGTTAATGGTTCCGATAGTCCCTTAGTTGTGTCTTCTCTCAATGGACTCTTATTTAAGTCAACACCTCCACATAATTCAAAGTTAGATTAGAATTTCTCATGCATCCCCGACTGAAAAGTTACACTGAAAATGAAAAGAGAGAAACGAAAAATAAAATTTGAGATCGAAAAGGAATTTGGAGTTTAGAATAAAATTTAGGATTGTATTGCAAGTTTTAAAAGTTGGGGGACCTAAATGCAAGTGTCTGAAAAGTTCAGTGACCATATTGCAAATGTATTAACGACAATGTAATGACGTCAAACGGTTGTGGATTATATTGCAAACAACCTAAATGTTGGGGGACCTTATTGTAAACAGACTAAATGTTGGAGACGGTATTGCAAGTTTTAAAAGTTAAGGGACCTAAATGAAAGCTTTAGAAAAGTTTAGTGACCATTACTATACTTTACCCTTAAAATTATGGTTGGAAAATGATTTTTAGCTTAATTAACCTCATAAGTTCAAATCTCTAACTTTTTATGTGAAAAATCACTTTTAGATAAAACTATATTTTTATCTTCAAATATTATATTTTCAATTTATAACATAATGTCTAATATGAACATTTTATATTTTCTTTTTAAAAATCACTTTTTAACAACAATTTTAAATTATTAAATTTTAAATTATCCTTTTAAGAGTAATTTTAAAATAAATTTTTAAAAAATAATACTAAACTGGCCAAATTGAGAGAAATTGCTAAACTTATGTTTTTTTTACACAAAAGTTTAGGTAAGAGTGGCTACCCAGTCCAATGCCAGAGCTTACCTAAGACCCAATTGAGATCTACATAAAAATTTACAGGTTACCCACTAAGAGTGACGGTGGTAGGATTCGAATTTGACCTTATAAGCTCAAATTTTTGAATCCAACCACTTGTGTCAACACTCATCAACGCTAATCTTATGTTTGAATTGGATTAAAGTAAGAGAATAAAAAGAAAGTAAACACCTTCCCCTTGATTCGAAATTTGACCTTACAAGTTCAAATTCTTGAACTCAACCACTTGTGCAAACACTCATCAGCGTTAATCTTATGTTTAAATTGGATTAAAGTAAGAGAATGAAAAGAAAGTAAACACCTTCCCCTTGTTTCGGTAATTTAATTTAAGTAAAAAGACGTAGAAAATAAATTAAAACATATTGTATATTAAATAAATGTAATTATTTATGTATATGACACGGAAATTTAAATCAATATCCTACGATAACATTTTTAATAATTTGTGAAAAATAAATTAAATTAAAAATATTTATACAATTATATTGTACATTTAATAAGAGTTATTGTGTAATTTTGATATTTTTTAATGAAATCCAAAAAATACATTTAAAAAAATCTTTATAATTATTTATTCAAACCTAGACCATTTGTTTCTTTTTAACCGTCATATAATAAATTCAAAGTATCACATATGATCACAAATGCCATTAAAACATCCCGAAAAACAAAAGAGAAGACATAAAAGAAATAAAAAGAAATCGCTTTAAATTATCCACCCATTTAATTCTCATAACAACAAAGTATACGATCGGCCGAGCATCATTGTCAGCGGCGTTGGCATGTCCAAAACCACCTCCAAATTGGACCACCCGTCTTCTACAATACGCCTCCCAATTGACTATTAGACCACTCCGCGCCATGCTTGACTTTGGTATATAAGTATTTTTTGTCCATTTTGGCAGGCGGCCACACTTCTGATAGATAGATAGATAGGTTTCACTTGTAAAACATATCAATGTTCATATATTACAGCAAGTTTTACAGGCAATCAAAGTTGAATCTACGCTACGCCTATGAGCATGATCCGTCTTTGATTAATTGTATTAAACAAAGGGATTACGTATAATCAAGATTTAGGAAAACGGAAACAAAATAAAAATTGGATCAATAAATGATCCTTTTACTAAAATAAACATTTTTCCTTCTGCTACTCCTTATCCTTGTTTGATGCAACACTTTGCTTGACAGCAATCTCCATGAACAGAGAAAGAAAAAAAAAGGAAGAAGAAGCAGTGCTCAAGCGATATTTTATATTTTATCTATACAGAAACCAGGAATCATCAGATTCAATTATGTTACAGATTTCGCCATGTTTTATCAATCTATATCCGCAGTACTCTGTATATAAGAAACAATAAGAAAGAACAAGGAGGGCAAAAGGGATCAAAAACGAAAGAATATATTAAAAGATCATTCTGTGGTGGCTGTGGGATTCAATTTAAGGGGTCTAGGTGGGTTCATGGTTCTTCTTTTCCATATATTAATTTCTTTCCTTGGCTGCAAAGTCGCCCCACTACCACCACCACCGCCACCAACCGTGATTGGTGCTGAGAAAGGAATGATAACGTCTTCCTGTTCAAAATCACTATCTCTTCTCTCTTCTTCATCATCGGAGTAATAATCCCTACGACAATCAGCTTCCACAGGTGCAATCTGAGTCGTCCAGTCGAAACTAGCAAAAGCATCACGCCCACTTGCAAACCGCCTCATTTGCCCCAGAGAGGGCGCTGTATCAGCCAATTTCGGTGCATTCTCAGGTTTCTTTTTCGGTTTCGGCATGCTGAAAAACCGCCTAAACTTGGACTCATGCTTCTTTACTTCCCCAGAAGAAGAAGATTCAGAGACGGGATTCGTCGAAGCTTTATGTTTAGGAGGCAAAACGCGCTTACCTTTCTTAATACTCTTCTTGTGCTTGATCTGTCCCATGCATGAAACTTTGGGTGAAGTTGGTTCTTGAGTTTCGAAGGTTTCAGCCTTGGGTTTCCTTCGAGCTTCGGCCGGAATCATCGAAACGATAGGACCGGAGAATCCTTTCCCTGCAAAGGCTTTATGCTTCGCCTGGCTGAACGGATGGTTTTGAAAGCTGACACTCACAGATGAAGCCGCCTTGGGCAAGAACTTGAGGATCTTGTTTCTGGGCTTAGCCTGTTTCTCCATTGTTTGTAACACACGGCAGAACGCTTTTCTTTTGGAACTCTTTTTATATGTAATGAATTAGGATAAAACTCGGAGGTTGAAATGAAGCTTTATATTTCTGACCAAATCAGATAGGGTCAAAGCCGATTTAAGACTGCGCGAAACTTAAAACTGTGCACTTAAATTACAGCTTGCTTTGGTGACGAACATTTGCAGACAAAAAACAGTTTTATTCAAAGTTTCCATTAATTAATTAGTTCGCCAATAAGCAAAATGATTTAAATAAATTGGCATGCCTTGTGGCTTTAGCTTTGTCGGTTTTTGACTTGTCAAGCTATGATATAAAACAATATTATACACGAAATTTACAATAATATAAACATGCCGTATTAGACATAATAATACGATTGATTATCGACTTACTGCGTTTCACACATTTATGATTCATCATTTAAAATTTTGATATAATTAATAATTTATATTACCCTATAAAAAGATTTCCTTACTTATGGTTAATAATTTTATTACAGTAGTAAGTGTTCTTATTGTTAGGGTTAAGGTAAATAGGGCTAAGATGATGACTAATTTCTAGGAGTAAATAAAATTTGAAATTAGCCCACAAAGTTGAAAGTTATCCTAATACTGTTCTAAATATGGAAATTTTCAGCTTTTCAGGAAAGGTCAAAACCTGTATATGAAAACTATATTATAATATATATTGACAAAAGGTCGAAACCTATATTATACGGATTGGATTAAAAGGATTTTGAATTTCAACAGTCAACGACGTACTTCGTAATATAATCATGTGTATTTTATGGCATTGAAGATAAGACATTGGTTTTATGTAAGAAACAGTGACGGATCCAGAAATTTAAGAATGTGAGTCCAAAATTTTAATTTTATTTTCTTAAAAATAATGAGTATGCAAAAATTGTAATTTTTTTCTTTTTTCCTTAACACATTAAGCTAAATCACTTTTCTAAAATAATAGGATACACTTGACCCCTATGATGGCTTAGTGAATCCGCCACTAGTAAGAAAACTATTATCTTTTGATTTTGAGGATGAATGAGACTGGTTTTATTTCTATAATTATGAATGTAGAAAATATCAATCAATGATATTGGTTAAGATGACATGTTTCATTAGAATAAAAGCGTATCTTATTGGAAGTTTATAAAATTATTTAAAATAATATATTAGTTAATTGTACATTCTTTAGGGGGGAAATGTACTTATGTGGTGTCTATCAATTATTAGATAATAAATTGAATATATTTTAAAAAATGGCAAGATAATATTTTATTAGAATAGTTTTTTTTATTGGAACAGTAAACTAATGATAAAGTTTCATTAAGCTAGTTGTACTCGAAGCAATCGATCTTAGAAATTAATAAATCGCTTGCCTAGGATGTAGGACCACAAGTGATCAAGGTGCGCCTGTATGAGGTTTCCTCGCCTCCAATCAAGGTTAAGTGCTCTGCCTATCTGTTGAACACCTCGGAACCTTCATCATCCGCCTCTTGAAAGTCTTTTGCAACTCTAGTCACCACAATGTGAGCCACACCTTAAAACTCTTAATTCCAAACCTTGTAGTGCTAGTATTTTGGTTTATCAAAAGAGTAATTGGTTTTGAAGATAACCAGTTTCGTGGTGGCTGAGTTCCTCGATGACAATTTTGTGTTGTCAAAAGTCCAATAGAATCAAATCAGTCCTATTGAAGAGAGCTGAAATTAATTATGCAGCCACCTTTTATTCAATAAATCGAATATCTGAATCTCAACAAATGTATTACTTTTCTCCACCCTCAAATTGCTGAAGCCATTAACTGCTTATAGAGGTGAAGCTTGCAGTCTAGCTAATACTACCACATTTAAGAGACTCATAAAACAACTCTGGAAAATCATGCTGCCGAGATGACAACGTATGCTCCAATCTCATAGTATTTTTAATGAAATAAAAAACAAGCATGCATAGGAAATTCTGCTAATGAGAAGCTCAGGGTGTAAAGAGCACCCATAAACAACTTATCATTCAAATAAATTACACCAAAATAATAGACCACAAAATAGAATTGGAAGATGTAATCAAAATTCGAAGGAGACTTGATAATCTAGAAGAGACTACTTGAGTAAAACTAGTTGAAATAAGTATGCTACCAGCTGAACTCTGAAGGATGAAGACACAACAGTACATTCTACACCTTCTAAATCTACAAACTTATGACCATACTAATTGAAAAAATTGGAAAAAATTACCTTAGACTTATAGAACGGCAAGAAGCTTCTTCTACAAAGGACGTGTTACAAAGCACCTATCAACCATCTTCTCCACTAGTTCCTCATGCTTCTTTAATTGCTGGGCTTTTCTCAGCTGCTCCAGCACCATCTCATAAAGAGGCATACTTGGTTTCAAGCATTTATCCTCGATCATCTCTTTAAACAGCTTGTAAGCATTGTTCCAATGCCCCATCCCACAATACATTGTGATCAAAATCCGAAAGGTATTCACATTAGGCTCAACCTCATTCTCATCCATCTCCTTCTTTAGCTTAAGAACCATATCAGTAGACTTTGCACCAGCAAACATTCGCATCAAAACATTATAAGTAATTGTATTAGGCATACATTTAAACTCCTTCATCTTAGTATACATTCGATGAGCAGCATTCACATCCCTTAACTTCTCGATACACTTAAAAATGGTATTGAAAGTAGACAAATTCAGGGTACACCCTTTCTTTAGCATCAGATTAAGCACTTTAATAGCCTCATCAAGATTATCATCCCTACAATGACTCTCTATAAGAAAATTGTAAGTTACCGTATCAGCAGCACAACCAAGTCTTTTCATCTGATTATAAACCTGCAAAACCTTCTCGGTGCGACCGGCCTTGACATGAACCCTCATCAAATTATTAAAAGTAATCGCATTTGGCTCACAACCTATATCAAGCATCTCAGCAAAAACATCATAAGCACGAGTAATTTGGCCACATCTACACAATGCGTCAATCACAATAGTATAGCTATACACATCAGGCTTAATCCCTGCCATTTTCATTTCTTTAAATACCCTTTCGGCCTCTGAAATATTACGCGCCCGACACCAACCGTTCAGCAAGCTGGTGTACATAATCACATCAGGTTCAAACTTGTCCTTCAATTTATCGAAAAAAGTTTGAGCTTCATCAGCCCTTCTTTTTCTGCATAAAATACTAATCAAAACAGAAAACGCGATCTTATCAGGACAGCACCCGTAATCCTCCATGCGATTAAACGCGTGCACAGCCTCGGCAGCCAACCCGGCCTTCACGTAACGCCTGATTAGAATCGAGAAGGTTTCAAGCGAGACGTCGACGCTTTTGCCTTTCATCTGATCGATGAAATGCCAAGCCAAGCCGAAATGCCTCAATTTTCCGGCAAGGTCGATCATTTCGTTGTACGGGTCGGGAGATTGAACAAAATCGGATCGAGTGGTGGCCCAATTAAAGAAAGACAGTGTTTGGAGGAAAGGTATGCCATGGCGAACCCCACCGCATCTGTCGATGACGTAGCGTACGACGGAAGGGGAGATAGGATGGACAGTTGAGATTTTGGAGAAGTCGAGGGATAGAGAAGGGATGATGAAGTTTGGGGCCGTTGGGGTCGAGTTTGAATCTGGGTTAGGGTTTTTGCGGTGGTGCTCTTTGATTAAGGAACGGAATTGTTCGGCAACAAGGGTTGCTTCGGGTGAAATGGCAGAGCTTCGGGGCTTTTCAATCGTATCAGCATCGCCGGCTTCAACTTCTTGTATTGGGGTTAGCGGTGAAGAAGAGTAAAATTTGAAGAATCGCAGAGACAAAGAGGATGGAGAGCCTAGTCTTGCCTTGGTTAAAGCCATGCAAATCGCCTTTGAGGCTTAAAAATGAGGGTAGATTGAGATTTTGAGTGCAGACTGCTTGCTGCTGTAGCTCAACATTAACGAGCTTTTTCAAGGGTTTAAAGTTTAGCTAAAACAACGACGCTGCAAGCTAAGCCATACATATTGACTAATGGATTTTTGCCCAACAATGCCATGCGGGCTTGTTTGGGCCATTATTGACTAGTGGATTATTATTTGTCAAATGCTTCTATTAGTCCTTGTACTATAAAAATGTTATGATTTAATCACTATACCCTAATTCTGATCTCCATCCAAATACAAACTTATCTGCAAAGCCATATTTTAAAAGTGGTTAAAATATGCTTTATGGGTTTATACTTTTCTCACTTTTGGAACTTAGCCCGTTTACTTTGGTTGTTTAAAAATGCAAATCACATCCTTAATCCCATTTAAGAAAATAGTTGTTATCTTCATTGACATTATTTTAAAATTAAAATCCATTAATAAAAATGGCGTGACTGTATTTTTACAAAAAGATATTAAAATCCTCAAGTACCGGCTTGTCTTATATTTTAGAATAAAGAATACAAATGTCATTGAATTATATAAATAGTTTGATTATTTATATTTTAGAAATTATAAAATGTGTATTGTATTTTTAAAATATTATAAAATAATCATTAAAATTTATTAAATATTTGAATTATTATAAATATTATTTAAACGTATTAAAATTTATTATTATTTTATAACATACCATTTTTTAATAATTTATAAAATTAATGACGATTTTGTATCTTTTAAAATTATGGTGAAAAAAAGATTATTTTGATTTAATTTAATGTATATTTATATATTTTAACGTATGTTTTATTTTCACTTTAATTTCTTTTAACTAAATTATTTTTTATTTTACATTTGAAATAATTATTTTCATTACATGGCTGTTAAATGAGTATTTTTAAAATTAATGTATTATGACAGCGAGCATTACAGTTTCATTTCAAAGTTGTTAAGCATGAGAGTTGAGTTTTTAAATAGTCATAAGGACTAATACCTGAAAACGAAAATAGAGGGACTGGATTATTAAAGTACAAAACATACAGGGCCCATAACATATATTAACCTTAAAAAGTACTAGTACGCAGTAGCTTGCTTAAATGGGCGTCCCAATGTCGGTTAGTCCTTAAATGGTTCCGTTTCTTTTAAATATTTTCAAAGAAAAATTCTCTAATTCTTTTAATCTTAGTTTTACCCAGAATCAGGGGTGATTTTCTTCTACCGATCCCTGGGTTTTGAGCTGAATTCTCTCGTTTCTTCTTAAATTCAAGAATGCTGAAATTGAGACATTCTCGGTTGCAGGCTAAGAAGCTGTCGACAGTAACGCTTGTATTATCCATGCTGTTTATGTTAACGGTAGTTTTATTGATGCTTTTAGGACTAGGGATTTTCTCTCTTCCGATAAACAGCGATGATTCTCCGCCCACTGATCTTACTTCTTATAGACGCATGGCTTCTGAAAGGTAATTGTGTCTTGGTCGTTTGATTTCTAAGCATTGATCTTTTTTGATGAACAGCGATGTGTTTTCTGATTGTTTTCGTTTATTTGATTTTGATGCAGAGGAAAAGGCCTGGGGAAAAGAGGGCAGCAGTGGACTGAAATCCTTTCTTGGGAACCTAGAGCTTTCATTTATCATAACTTCTTGGTTAGTTTCTAGTCTATGCTTATCCTTGTTTTTGTAATCTATATTTATTACAGAAATGTATCAAGGTTTCTTTCGTCCTTGAGATCTTTTGATTAGTATAAATTAATTTGAAATTGCCAATCTGATCTCGTTGATTGTATTAAGACCGGGTTAGAAAATTCTGTCATTAATGTGAATTAGGAAGAGTATTAGATGCCCCTTGGAAGTACAATGTATTCGATGAGTCAAATAACATACATGAAGGGAATTTTATTGAATCCTTTTCTTATTACTGAATCGATATAGCATACATGTATGTTGGAATTGAGGTCTTTCTCTTTGTTAGGAATAAATAATCATGAATGTGATAATAAAATTATTTTCTATTGTTTTTTTACTTTGGTTGTTTTGATTTTTACCTGTTCTCATATCAACAGTCCAAGGAAGAATGTGATTACCTAATAAATCTCGCTAAACCTCACATGGCAAAGTCCACTGTTGTTGATAGCAAAACAGGGAAAAGTAAAGATAGCAGGTTTGTTTCCAATCCCAACCTCTTCTTGTAGTTATAGATGCTAAGATATGACATTAATTTTGTCCCCCCCCGGGGGTTTAATTTAAGGTATTGAATTTTTTTTCTCATGTTTATGCTTTATTTTGAATTTGAAAGTTATAATTCTATATCTTATTTAAGATTTGAGGAGGCCTTTTGTTGGAAGTCAGTTATGTGTTAAACTATGAACCTAATCTTACGTTGACTTGTATTGTTCACAGGGTGCGTACAAGTTCGGGTATGTTTCTGAGAAGAGGGAAAGATAAAATCATCATGGACATAGAAAAAAGGATAGCTGATTATACCTTCTGTCGCAACCGTCTTTCGGTTGGGTCCCGTAATTGAGCTTCGACTTAAGAAAATATGGATTGGAGTCGCCACCGACCACTTTAAAACGAATTTAGGTAGGTCGGACACCATTTTACCTGATCTGTGTTGTACCAAAAACGTATCGAGTTTGGGAGTCGGTTACGGTCAAAGAAGGATTAGCACCCTTGAACCGCCCTTTCGGTACCACATAATTTTCAGTTGTCTTAAATTAAGAAATTGTAATTTTAAATAAAAAGGTAAAATTTGATTCTGATTACTCACCTAAGATTGATTTGAAAATATCCTTAAAAAATCGAGAAATGTGTTAGATAAACAAGATAAAAAAAATAAATAAGATAAATAGAATAAAATAAAAGGAAAAAAATAGTAAAGTAATAATTATATATAGTAATATTTGAAAAATATATATATATATATATATACATCAAAGTATTAATAAAATAAATAATATATATATATATACAACAAATATTTAAAAATAGAAAAGTTACCCTCTCACTTCATCGAAAGTGGGGGGTTTTAGTGAGAAATAAGACAAAAAGAGGAAAGTGAGAGAGATTTTAGTTAGAAATAAAACAAAAAAAATGGGCACTCTAAGTTAATAGTATATAATATAATGTTTAATAATAATAATGATAAAGACACAAGATTTTTTTTTTAAAATATAATAATGAATAAAAAGCGAAAATAATAAAAAATAATATATATATATATATATATATATATATATAAAGTTATAAGATATATTACTTAAATAAAGAAATAATCAAATAAAAATAATTAAGAATATATATATATTAATAATAGGTATATAAATAAACTATTAAAAGTATAAAAATATATATATATAACTAGATAAAGATAAATACAATATATATAGTAATAATAGACTTATAAGTAAAATATTAAAGAAATATATATATATATAATAATAAAATATAGTAAAAAAATCAAATGAAAATAATTTAAAATATATATATACGTATAATAATAACACGAATAATAAAAATAAATGAATAAAATATCCATATAATAAATAAAGGGACTAATATAGTTTTTTAAAAAGTTCTTCCCCTCCTTTAACCGAAAATCAAACCGGTTTTTCAAAATAAGCCTCGGGGAAGCGTAGATCTAAGAGAAAAGATCTCGGTTCCCTTGTGTTCATCGACCCTTTCAAAGTAAAAACGAAAAAGAAGAAGTGAAACAAGCCGCATGCAAGCGAGAATCGAAGCAATATAGGTAAAAATACCTCTTTTATTTCTCTGTTGAAAATTACAAGCGAATCTTTGGGGCTTATTGCATATTTGCTTTGGGTATTTTTGTGTGTGCGTAATCCCGTATGATAATTGTGTCCCCCTGGTGTGGTAATTACAAGGCTTATTTATAGTACTAAAAAAACCTATTTTAGACTAGTATTTGAGTCCTAATCCAACTCTATTTTAGATTAGTATTTGAGTCATAATCCAACTATTCTTTGTTGGTTACATGAAGACTCCTCGGTTGGCAGGACAAAATCTGGTGTCTTCAGCTGCCCCTCTTTGCTCATTATCGTGTAACGAAAATGGAGCAAAGATTACAAGACACAAATTTTGTCCATATCGAATATCCTCTGTCGTAGAGTTGAAATCATTGTGAGGTTGAGTCAAAATTGGAAAATTTTGAGCACGAAATCCTTCGTCATGAAGTTGAAAATGAGCTCAAAGCTTTTGATAAGTGGCCTCTGAATCGTCTTCTGGCTCAAGATACTTCGTCGTGAAGGTGGAACTTGACCTGAAGACTTTGGTGTTGTGATGTTACAGATGACCCCTTCATCGTGAAGTTGAGTCAATCCGTTGGGGTATGATACCCTTCGTTGTGAAGTTGTATATGTATATGGCCCCTTCGTCGTGAAGTTGAGCATGAGAATTGGATATCCTTCATCGTGAAGTTGAAATCCAAGTAGGTTGTATTGTTCCGAGTCCAATATCCTCCGCCGTGAAGTTGAAATTGGCTCTAGAAATGGAAAATTGTTTGTTGACAGCCAACCGCCCCTTCGCTGTGAAGTTGAGCTTGTGCTGTCTTGAGTCTAATATCCTTCGATGTGAAGTTGAAAAATTGGAAAATTATTTGTTGACAACCAGCCGTCCCTTCGTTGTGAAGTTGAACTTGTGTCGTCTCGAGTTCAATATCCTTCGATGTGAAGTTGAAATTGGCTCTGAAATTGGGAAATTGTTTGTTGACAACCAGCCGTCCCTTAGTTGTGAAGTTCAACTTATGTTGTCTCGAGTTCAATATCCTTCGATGTGAAGTTGAAATTGACCCTGAAATTAGAAAATTATTTGTTGACAACCAGTCGTCCCTTCGTTGTGAAGTTGAACTTGTGTCGTCTCGAGTCCAATATCCTTCGCCATTGGCTCTGAAATTGGGAGATTGTTTGTTGACAACCAGTCGTCCCTTCGTTGTGAAGTTGAACTTGTGTTGTCTCGATTCCAATATCATTCGCTGTGAAGTTGAAATTGACTCTGAAATTGGAAAATTGTTTGTTGACAACCAGTCGTCCTTTCGTTGTGAAGTTAAAACCGTGGATGACCTCTTTATTGTGAAATTCGGCTTCGAGCTAGATATCCTTCGTCGTGAAGTTGAAATATACTCTCGAGCAAATTGTGTCGCTTTGAGTTCAATATCCTTCGCCACGAAGTTGAAATTGACTCTAGCAAAAATCTGAAAAAGTTATGCATATATGTCTTTTTGGGGATCTGGAGAGAAAACTCGAACTCCGGTTGCTTGTCTGAAATCTTGATTTTGGAATCTTGAAGTTTCGATCCCTGGTCTTGAATTCTTTAATGTTCAAATCTGATATTTGTTTTTTTTATATCCTTGATCTGGGAAATGCTTCTCGACCATCTCAAGTATATGCATGAGTCTCGATCGGCTTCCGAGTACCTGTACTTTTCAATGAATCTTTGTACAGTAATATGCAAATATCTTTTGCATAAGTAAATAAATCATTAAGTTTAAGCTCAATCCAAGATGCTCAAAAGGAATTGGTGTAGAGGAAAAAGATTTTCTTTTATTCATGATGAAAAATGAACAAATAATACATGACAAACATTCTAGAAGATGAAGACATGATGAGGTGTAAATGAATGTCTTAGATTTCAATAATGTGGGCACTTCTGAGCTGAAAAGCCTTTAGGTGACCTTGAATATAGCATTTGCCAAATGATCTTTGAGAATGCGACAACATTCAGGAGAGTACAATCTTTCTCCGACTCGTTGAGTCGGTGGAAAATTCAGATGTCGGGGAGTTTCAACTGTCTGGATCTCTTGAATTGTCCAAATCGCCCTTTCGGGTTTTCAACTTGGACTCATCCTTGGTTGCAAGACGCCCTTTGCGGGTTTTCATCTTGAACCCACCTTATTTTTTGTTCTTTTACTTTTGTTATCTTTTTCATTTTTTTTTCAATTTAGGGCGCCCTTTCGGGTTTTCACCCTAAACGTTTTTCACTTTTTGTTCTTTTTTTCTTTTTTCTTTCTCCGACTTAGGACGCCCTTTCGGGTTTTCATCCTAAGCGAAGTACTTCTTGATTTCATCCGAATTGATGGGATGTGGCAGTTCGGGCCCGTCCATTTCAGCCAGGACAAGGGCTCCTCCAGATAAGGCTTTTTTCACGACATAAGGTCCCTCTCAATTTGGTGTCCATTTTCCTCGGAAATCTTTCTGAACTGGCAAAATTCTTTTTAGCACAAGATCTCCTTCACAGAATATTCTCGGGCGTACCTTCTTGTCATGTGCTCGAATCACTCGTTTCTGATAAATTTGACCATGGTGAATGGCTTTCAGTCTCTTTTCATCTATCAGATTAAGCTGATCGTATCTGGATTGCACCCATTCTGCGTCATCCAATTTAACTTCTGTCAAGACCCGTAATGACGGAATTTCTACTTCAATGGGCAGTACTGCTTCCATTCCATAAGCTAATGAAATGGAGTTGCCCCAGTCGAAGTTCGTACTGAGGTTTGGTAAGTGAACAAAGCGAAAGGCAACTTCTCATGCCAGTCCTTGTAGGTCGCGGTTGTTTTCTCCACTATCTTTTTAATGTTTTTGTTTGATGCTTCTACTGCGCCGTTCATCTTTGGTCTGTAAGTAGTAGAATTGTGATGATTTATGTTGAATTGCTCACAAGCAACCTTCATCATTTTATTGTTCAAGTTTGTAGCATTATCAGTAATGATTCTTTCAGGTAAACCATATCGACATATGATCTCTTTCTTCAAAAACTTACAGATAACAGATTGAGTGACACTGACACAGGAAGCAACCTCTACCCACTTAGTGAAATAATCGATAGCTACAAGGATGAAATGATGACCATTCGAAGCCTTCGGATGGATTTGCCCAATTACATCCATGCTCCACATAGAAAAAGGCCATTGTGACGTCATGACATGAAGCGGATGAGGTGGAACATTTATTTTATCGCCGTAAATCTGACATTTATGACATTTTCTAGCATAGTTGATGCAATCACTTTCTAGTGTGAACCAGAAATATCCGCATCTCATTATTTGTCTCGACATCATATGTTCATTTGCATGTGCTCCACAAACTCCGTCATGTACTTCTTCCATTATCATCTTTGCCTTTTCAGCATCGACGCACCTTAACAGAACTTGATTATGGCTTTTCTTGTATAAGACTTCCCTGTCAAGGACATATCCAGCTGTCATCCTTCTGATGGTTCTTTTATCGGTTTCAGTGGCTTCTTCTGGATAACTTCGATGTTTGATATACTGCAAAATGTTGTAGTACTAAGGCTTAGTGTCCTTTACTTCTTCAATCTGGTAGCAACGAGTCGGGTACTCATACACCTGCATGTCAATTGGCATCATTTCAGACTTTCCGCCAACTTTGAATGCGGCTGCCAA